TCTTGTCCTGGCTGGGTATTGTCATGTTGTTAAGTTGATCAAGACGTCAACATTAGACCAGGTCTTATGAACATTGTTTGAAGTTAAAACCTCACGATAGGACTCATTCGCTGATTACCCAGTAACATGCTGATCATGACGCTCTGATAAAAACCATACAGGGTTAAAATGTGGGGGAGTAACGGATAGATATCTGTGCAAATGGGAGGATATCATTAGGCCATAGGTAAACTGAAGTCTGAGAGAGTTTAGAACTAGAGCGGAGAGATAGAGATTTGAGACGGGAGAGAAATGAGAGAGAAGAAGAGAGAGGGAGACAGGACGTAAGAAATAAGAAAGAGATGAGAGGGAAATGAGAGGGGGAGACAGAGAGGGAGCGATGAGAGAGGGTGAAAGAGATGATAGGAAAGGGAGAGACACAGAAAGAGAGGTGAGATAAGAAGATAGATGAGAGAGAGGTGAGATAGATGAAACAGAGATGAGAAAGAAGACAGAGCGATGAGAGACGGGAACGAGACATGAGAGATATGAGAGAGATGGAAAGAGAAATGCGAGAGTTGGAAATAGAGGAAGAGAGAGCTAAAAGAGAAAGGAGAGAGGAGAGAGGGAAGAGAGACGAGAAAGATGAGAAAGATGGGGAGAGAGGGGGATAGAGTTGAGATTAAAGGAGGGAACGAACGAACGAAACAATCTTTTTTTTTAAAGGGTTAGGAATTGGGCACACATTCGGCCTTCTAGCCTCACTCCATGTTTACATTTTTCATGCACATATCGTTTTAGCAGATAATAAATATTTATATAATAATAACAGACATCATCAACAACATCTTACTAACATTGTGCTCTAATATAATGCCTACATTTTTAAACAATGATAATACTAAGTTAAGTAAATCTTGGTGGAAATCAACAGTATTCTTAGGACACTATTATCTTCAAAGAGGGCATGTATTCTGTAGTGAGATAATATTCAACCATGAATCAAGTAAATCTTTTAATAATGCATTTTGACTGAAATTATTTAATAATTTCTACCTTTTATAATAAGTTGTTTATGCTTGGGGATTTTTGTACCTCTGTTACCCCACGTGATACAAGTTGGAAATTGATTGTTCATTGTACAATTGGGGAAACCTTGTATACTATGATGTTATATGGGCATGATACACATATATATGATCTTTAATCGTTGAGGAAGAGTTTGTTATTTTTGTAGGTTGCTTGACTAATTGTTGATGATTTTATGATGCTATTTTATTTTCCCACCCAGGGAGGGTGAGAGAGATGAGAAAGATGAGAGGTGGAGATATATATGAGAAAGAGATGAGGAAGAGAAGAGGGGTAAGAGTTAGAGGGAGAGGGAGATGAGGGAGAGAGAGAGAGAGATGTAATTGTGTTTGTAGTGATGGTGTCAGACTGATTGATTTAGCTTTTTTTAGGAAATCGTTTTTTTTTAAATGAACGTCCTCATATAAGGTAATAATGCATTTATTACGTTAATTCACTCAATAAACACTGATGTGCTATCTCCTTCTGTCGGAAGCCGTCCTGATGTAGCGGCTAGACTCTCGTATTCAGATCCCAAAGTCATAGGTTTAAATCAGAATAAAGACACACTTTGAAAAAAAAAATGACCCTGGCCCCCAGGCCGACCAAGCCTTTAGTGGTTCACAAAAAAGTCGTGGGAGGTAAAGGCGGTCGGGTAAACTGTAGCCCGCCTTATTTGTGGAGACGGCAAGTACTTCAAAAGACTACTATTACTCTTTTTGTGCTCTGTCCGTGATATTTTTTGTTTATATTGCATGTAAGCGCACATCCGTTTACTGCTACTGTAAAGATGCACGTTATCAACATTTTTACTTTAGATGGTTTGTCTGTTTTGGTCGTTAAACTTGTAATGCTGTTGAAAGGTTTCTGCCACAACATTAGCCTACAAATTCGAACCTGGACAAGTTTCTTTCAGCAGAGTCAAAATAGCTTTTACTGTCTATACCAGGATAAGTCCTCAGAAGTAAAGTCGACCGGCGTGATGCCGATAACATAACCCACCAAGTGCCCAAATATGCCACAGCCGTAATAATGAACCTTTACTTTTGTTTTACTTTTAAAGAGTTCCTATTTCCTCGTTACGAACACTCTCAAAGAAAGCAGGGCGCTCTCAGAGATAACTGCCAGGCGGAGAAATAACCCCTCAAAACTAAGAAATACCTATTCAAGATCATATCGGGCAGAGAAAGGACTGAATAAGGTCAAGAAATTACCATAGCAGGCAAATAAATTATACCAGGCAGAGATATGACTATGCCAGGCAGTGAAATGTATATGCCTAGCGAAGTTATAAGTATTCCAGGCGGAGATGTGATTGCGACAGGCAGAGAAACAGCCATGTCAATAATTTGTTCGGATGGAGAACAGATGTGCTGTGCTGATCTGCAAAACTAAAACCCAATGCATAAACCGTTCTTTTTAGAGTAAATGCAGAAGAAGAAAAAAGAAGAAGAAAAGAAGAAGAAGAAGAAAAAGAAGAAGAAAAAGAACGAGAAAAAGAACAAGAAGAACAAAAACAAGAAGACAGTCGAAGAAGAAGTCGAAGAAAAGACAGTAAAAGAAGATATATATGTTTTGTTTATACTGAAGCAGTTTCTAGACATCTGAAACAACTTATATAAGGTAACAGGTAACTGTTATAGATATACAACTGCGGAACTTTCCGTAATAAAGATGGTTCTCATTGACAACATTATTACAGCGTTAGTTGTAATTCCAGTACATGTTTGGATAAGACAGGAAACGTGTTGAATAGTTTCCTCCGATATGTTGTTGCTAATTACCCTGAAAGGGGCAGCAACAGGATATTAGAAGACCCATATCCAAACACTTTCTATTAGGTACAATTACCAGCCTTATTTATCAGTGTCAAGAAGACTAAAATAAACATATTGTGGTTTCTTTGCAAAAGTTAATGGTCAACATTTGGTGCAGGAGAGCCTAGCATATGATACCGAAACATCTAGCTTAAGAATGGAGGTGGAGGCGGTCACTGCAGCTTTCCGCTGGTTAGAGAACACGACAAACACACACACACACACACACACACACACACACATCGTGGTTGTAACTGACTCAAAAAGCATGCTGAGGGAGGTCAGCACAGGCATGCTTCACTGCAGAGTACACAGGTGAGGATTTTTTCACCAGGATTAGCCGGTGTGTTAGGAAATGAACAGGCGGACAGACTGGCTGGCTCTGCACAACTTGGTGGAATACTAATGCTTGATAAGGCAGACGTGGTTAGTGCCTTGTGGGGGAGCGTGTACAGTTTGAAGGAGCAGACGGATCACCGCAGTCTGGTGAGATTGATGCAGCTGGGAGTGACGAGAGGTTCTGGCAGATGCTCAAGGCTCAGAGGAAAGGCAAGACGGACAATTATTCAGAATGCTACTGGTGCCTTTAGTAACGGAACTCTTTACTGGCTGTTGAAGATAGGGACGAAGCACTTATCGGAATGCCCCGAGTGCTGTGATATCGGTTCTTGAGTAAACTCAGCTAAACTCAGCAGCATTATATCATGTCTTTTCGCGAGTCACTCGAAGCGGTAAAAAGGCAGTTTTCATTGCACTTCGTTATGATTACATATTATTCGGGGTCTTTGTTAGTAGAGTGAATAGCTATCCAATAACGACATTGCAAGAAACACATTATTTAGTTCCAGACAGTAGCACCTCAGGAGTACAATGCTTTTTATGTTTTTATGGACCAATCCGCACTCGGTTGGTGATGGAACCAACATCAGACCGTCTGCGTCAACTTCCTAGAAATGACCTCACCCTGTTTAGGCTTGGTCGACCTAGCAGTCAAGGTTAAATCTGAAAAACATCCAACTAGATTAGGAATCGAACTCGAGACCTATGTGCTGGTAGGTGAGCGTCTTGCCCAATGTTTCCCACAGAGAGAGAGAGAGAGAGGAGTGGGGGGGGGGGGGGGTAGGTGGGTTTGGTGTGATGGGCGGCAATTTGATTGATAAGGGTGACGATTTATTAAGTAAGTAGGTTTTACCCAATCAGAACATCACACAAAGCAGTAAACAGCCGTTGACACAAAGTGCCACCATGCGGATATGTATCAAACGTGGAGAGGTCCCAGAAACCGCGTTCAACCGTTAGGCTAAATTGCAGCCCCCGGCAAAAACCAGGGTGGGGCTTCCATGTGGGGACGACTTCACGGTGACGATTTGAGTGTTTAGGGGAGCAATCCAACGAAAGACTGACCCACAGTTTAAGTTACCTAGGGGGCATAAGAATCTTAGCGAGGCTGAGATAGGGTGTGGCGCAAAGAGAGTTAGGCCAGTTAATAAAGAGAAAAGCCATTTTAAGCTTTGTCATCTTTACAATGAAGATTGGCTACAGTACACCACTGTGTCTTTGGGAATATACATGGTGGGGACCCAGTTTCCTCGGTGTGATTCATTTGTCAGATTGTCCTTTTGTGGACTGGAATTACAATTAACGCTGAAATTATGTTGTCAATGAGAACCATCTTTATTACGGAAAGTTCCACAGAAGGACAATCGAAACGAGACACTGTTTGTTTTTTAAACTGTTGCAGAGTTCACCAGTTAGCTGTAAACTCGGGCTGAAAGTTCTGGTTGTTCGTTCACTTTTGGACGTTAGTCTTGTTCCACATCTTGAGTGTTGTGTGCATATCTGTATTACATATCTGACTTATTTGTATGCAGATTGTTGGTTCCTTGCCTCTCAGGCGGATGCACTCAGACTTTGGTGGAAGCCTCCTAATTTGTCGACTCTTAGACATTCTTGTTGTGGAGGCAGTGGGTCTATTCTTTTTTTCTAACTGGGATCTCGAAGCCCACGGGAAAAATCCTGAAGTTGTTAACAGCATTGATCAACCTCCAAGCCACCGAGACGCGGATTTATATGAACTAAATCAGTGGTCTAGATTGTAATGAGAGACGAATGAGGAAGTTCAGTTAGCATACTTACTGCTGTTCGCAGGGAGATTTTAACGTTGCGGCCTTTTCCTTCAAGATCTTTTTCAAATAATTCCTGTCTGATTGAAGTTGTCTTTTGTATTCTTCTCTATTTTTGTAATGGCCAATTGCATCTGTGTTGCTGGAGACAAGGAATAGATAAATGGTCACATGAACTGAATAAATATAGATGCACAACTTCAATACAATTCGAATGTCTATTTTGCAAACTTTTAATTATAATTCAGTGTTTAGAGCACAGTAATGCAAACCAATTATATACAACACACATTCATTGGTACCTGTGCAGAAAAGAATAAACTAAATGGTATGATAAAATCATTAACGTTGAATTTGTCCAGGACAACTAAACAAGTTCCAAATGACAATTTTTGGATCACCGGTTTAGCTGGACCAGATCGTGCTAACGAGAAATCTGAAGAAAAAGCGAGACAGCGGAAAATCAACGGAAAAGATATGTGTGAAAAATCACTGAAATTACCCTAGACAGAAGGCTGTGGAAATAAGGCTACCAAAGCCTTACAGCGTCTTCATCATCATTGACTGGCGTGGGTGATCATGCCGCTCCACAGTCTGGGATCTCGAACATATAGCAGGTGGTGTGCTGAAATCTCTCTATGCCATGACCAAAGGCAGTCAAAAATCATTTCTCGTTATTTCTGTCCTCTTTTCCAGAGATCCTTGCAGTAGTCATAACACGTTCCAGTTTCCTTCTTCTCAAAACAGAAGAAAAAAAAAGATGACCGTATCATTCTGATGTTTGTGAAAAGTTGTCTTCCAGTCCCCGTCTCTTTTAAAACATCTGAATTACTCTGTTTTGGCTATATTTTATTGTTCCTATATAGCATAGACTGTTTTATTTTGAAAAAGTACAGGAGTAACATACAATGGCATACATGTAATTACCTATGTGTGCCTGGATCATCTACTTGTAGCTCCATTAGAGAAGATGAGTCCGTGTTATTCTTCATCTGATTCTGAAGCATCTTCTTAGCAGCTCTGTACTCCGCGTCTGACAAGGCTATATCTCCCCAGAAACCCGCTGGAAGAAAGAGAAAATTGGTGAACATACATGTTGCAAATATACTCTGTAAGCTTTCACCACCACAAAAACCACCGCCACCACTACCACAGTCGTTATCATCATCATCCTAACCATCATCATCATTATTTTCACCCCTAGGGAAATCAGTCTACTGCCAACTATTTCAAAAAAAAAAAAAAGTTTTAATTCTTCACATATTTGAGCTAGAAATATCTCGCGTAAGTCTGCCGCCCTGTCTATTTTTATATGTGTCTGTCTGTATGTTTGTTCACTTTTCTGCCTGTCTACCAGACAGAAAATTGGTTTACTGTCACCTGTTTTCAACAAACATGGTTTACCTCTGCGTTTCTTTAACTCAAAACTTATCGCATCTGTATGACCGTTTCTGGCCTGTCTATCTACCGTTATGTGTGTTTGCCTGCCAGTTTTCCAACCAGCCAGTGTGCCTGTCTGTCTGTCGGTATGTCATTCTATTTGTCTGTCTGCCAGACGTCTCTAGACCCAGCCTAAAATGGGTATCAGGATGGCTGTCCTGTGGAAATAAAGACGGCCGGCGTAATGCTGACACATTACCCATCCAGCGCCGATTGGTCTGTAAAAATATGGGACGCTCTGCCCATATACCCAATGCGCCTTAGGCGAAATAAGGGATCTTTACATTTTTTTTTTAACTTTACAGACGTCTCTAGTATGTCTGTTTACGAGTATTTTATAATGCAGGCATTTAAACCAGCACACACAAGCACATACAGACACACACACACACAAACATATATATATATATATATATATATATATATATATATATATATATATATATATATAAACATAATATATACACAGACAGACAAAAATACAGACATTGTAATAACGTTAAATTCGCTAAACGCTCACACGGAAATATGGCCCTAGCATGTAATTCACACAGCAATATGTACTCAGCATGTGATTCACACAGCAATATGGAACCAGCTTGTCGTAATGTGGTGGTAAGAAAACACGAGATAACAGTTCAACCAGTGTTTAAAGCCTTTCCGTCGTCAAGAAATGCAATGTTACCTGTCTGATAGCCCAATCCCCTGACTAGAAAATTGTTATCAGGTGTGAAAATCATTCCCGACAGTTTTGTTTGTTAGTTTCTGTGAAAAACTATCTATTCTTCCCCTTCTCTCTACTCATGGAATGTCTAGCAGCGTCACGACAGGCAGATATCTCTGGAACAGGCCGTTCACTTCGTATAAAATACTTTAGACGTGTCTTATATTTCTGCATTCCATGTTCTGCGTGGTAGACCTCTGAATCAGTTACGGTTAATCTGTCTAACATTGCTCTCAATGGTGCCCAGACTAGCCAGATTATTATATCTCGTCTAGTTGTTATTTTAAAAGATTATATCACAGCTGTGTCTCATCTAGTTGTTATTTTAATAGATTCTATCACAGCTGTGTCTCATCTAGTTGTTATTTTAATAGATTCTATCACAGCTGTGTCTCATCTAGTTGTTATTTTAATTGATTCTATCACAGTTATGTCTCATCTAGTTGTTATTTTAATAGATTCTATCACAGCTGTGTCTCATCTAGTTGTTATTTTAATCGATTCTATCACAGTTGTGTCTCATCTAGTTGTTATTTTAATAGACTCTATCACAGTTATGTCTCATCTAGTTGTTATTTTAATAGATTCTATCACAGCTAGGTCTCATCTAGTTGTTATTTTAATAGATTCTATCTTAGTTATGTCTCATCTAGTTGTTATTTTAATAGATTCTATCACAGCTAGGTCTCATCTAGTTGTTATTTAATAAATTCTATCACAGTTATGTCTCATCTAGTTGTTATTTTAATATATTCTATCACAGTTATGTCTCATCTAGTTGTTATTTTGAATTGATTCTATCACAGTTGTGTCTCATCTAGTTGTTATTTTAATATATTCTATCACAGTTATGTCTCATCTAGTTGTTATTTTAATATATTCTATCACAGTTATGTCTCATTTGGCTGTTATTTTAGTCGATTCTATCATAGCTGTCTCTCAACCACTGTTAGTTTAGTCGACTCTTTCGCGATTATTTCTAATCTAGCTGTTCATTTATTCGATTTTGTCTTCCTATTTCTCTTACCCATTCTGTTTAACCGGATAAGCATTAAATCTTCCATCTATTAAGCGTTTATGAGTTTTATACAATATATTAGATAGAATACACAGGCGATTCTGACACCTCTTCCTAACATTTAATAGGTGCAACCGAACGATCGTAGTTGGGACGGAACCCGGCAAATTCCGAACTACGAATAGCGTTCTAATCAAGTAATTCACATACGTCAATACTTATAGAATAGTAATATTATAACTATAATATTACACCAGCAGTGCCGACTACTTTTTGCTTGTGCGTGTGTATGTATGTGTGTGTGTGTGTATGTGCTGTGTTTAATTTGCTGTCAAAGTAATTTGATTACAGCACGTTATTTTAGACGCCCTCGGAAAGCCGATTACATACGTGTAAGAGATGAAACCAAGAACTGAGTTCTAAACGTGCAATCAGTTGAGGATGTCTATCACCAGTTGTATAAAGGGTATTGGATTCTAGTGTGGAAACGAACAAAAAAGCTCCTGAAATATTAATTGTAGGATCAAGGGGAGATAAACCTGTAAAGGCACAAGAATTCACAAAGAACATAATGAGATGTCTGCGATTTCTGCAGGAGATTAGATTAGAGGCATGAAATCTCCTGGAAAATTTGCCTAGGTAGACAGCCGGGCAGCTACAGGTAAGGCAGGATTGATGTGCACTCAGATCTTCGTCAAGGGCACGGACACACAGAAACATGTAACGAAGTGGTGGTGGTGGGGCGAGGGGGGGGGGTGGAATTTGTCCTCCAACACATTTTCAAAGGGTAGTAGGGGGAGGGGTGGGGTCCCAATGGGTCTTTGTCTTGTTTAAGTGCCCAAAATATGATTATAATAATAATAATGTATCGTTCTGTATGACACAAATATAATAATGTGTTTGAAATAGTATAAAATAAACACATTCTGGGGGTAAATTGTCTCGGTGCCAAATTTTCTAGAGAAAATTGGATGGGAGTGGGAGGGGGGGGGGAGGGAGGGCAGGTGCGGGGGCATGATCGCACACCTCAACACTAACAAATATTTATGGGGTGCTTAAGGAGACAGAGCTCTCAGATTAGGGCGCCGCTGATACTTGTAGGAAATCACGTGTTTAAGTCGGCATTTTGGCTTATAATAGCAATATTGCAGAAGATTGCGATCACAATGCATTCATATCCAATACAAATTTGCTTACAAACTCTGTGCAGTCTATGTTAGGTAATGCTTGTGGCTTACTTGGATCTACTAGAAGCGATATGCGATTGAAACGCGAAGCGTACTTGTCAGGAAAGATTATAGAAGACTTACAAAAAGCATAAGCATTTAAGAATATATTCTGGAAATAAGACATGTCAAGGTCTACAGCCTCTGCTAAAATCGAATGCTCTATCTCCTAACATACACATCAAAGTATTAAAACGCTGTTCTCTCCAAAATTGCAGTTTGTAGGAATAACACAGAATATCCATCGGGTACAAGCCCCAGAAATCCCGTTCAACCGTATAGCTATATATCACAGATGTATTGATGCCCCACAAACGGTCCCGGTGTAACATGTAGTCCAGTCTGGGTGGGTAAGGCTTGAAGAGTAAAATTTGAGCCACGGATCATCATCAAGGCACTCGGGTTGTAACCCATAAATGCTCCGGTCTTCTTCTAACTCAAGTCTGAGTCCGAAGAATCTCAGCACATCGAACTGGCTCCATAGCACTGGCGAGGATCCTAAAATACTTTGGGTAGATTATTTAACTTCAAATTTTGCCCGGGCAGCAACCGTTAGGCTACTTTGTTCAATTTCTAACTGCCAAGGGATTTTCACTAAGGTAACATTGCACATGGGCTTCCAATCTCAATACCCAGAGACCAGGGGGAATTACTAGAAGTCCAAGTCCACGTGAAAAAATTCTAGCCAATAGCTGGGACTGAATCCGGAACCTCTAGCACTCGATGCAGACGCCATGCCTCAAGACCACGCAGCCCCTTTTCTGGGAGGGTGAAAACACTGATATGACTAGTTGTCCTATAGTGCTCTGAAACCATCTGAACAACTGGAACACAGGCAGACTTATTACGTTTCAAAAACAAAATATAATGCGGAATAGTTTTACTTATCAGAGATGAGGACAGCGGAGATAGGTATAGAAGCAACAACTTAATTATCTCATTCAATGATCCCTGATGACTGGCGTCATGTGGACTAATAGGCTGGTAGTGCTCGGTGCATACAGAGCGAAGATCCTTACTCATACAGGACAACAGCTTGTGTCTGGCTGGTGTAACCATTACGGGTGCCCTCAGCATAACTTCATTGTGGGTCGAACGAGATTTGTAAATCTGAGACACCACCCTCTAGGGAACAAACCGATATTTAAAGAGAGAATAGGAGACAGTAGGGTAACAACATTCGTACAAAAGAGTTGAATACAATTATATCACAAGGTACACTAAGAAGACAGTGGAAAGATATTTTTAGATCTTTAAGCACTTTTATTCACTGACTGGAAAGAAAGAAAATCAATCAGTGAGATGAAACAGATGTGGGTGATATATGCAGCAATTAACTTTAAGGCTCGGAATGCTGGACACACACAAAAAAGACACTAAGGAGATGGGTTTGTTGTTGACAAAATATCGAAACCATTGTTTGAGGGAATAAAGAGAACTAGGCAAAAATATTACAGCTGTAACAGACCCAGAGGTCGACCTGGAGAATATCAAGGTTAGTTGCGTATCTTTTAGAGGACGTTGCAGAACCAACCCCAACAGCACCCGGCTGTTGTGTAGTTTTTCTAGGCAAATTTACGTCCATTAGTTTGCCATTGCCTCTGGACGGTCGGCTTTCTTGACACCACTGTCGAAACCAACGCAAGGCGCATGGC